TATGTTAGTGTTAATGTGTTACTTGCATGTATATTAACTTGTAAACATTTTCATTCATAAGGATATTGAAAAGGACCTGAATAGAACCTGGCCATGTTTAGTTACTAGTCTGCCGTATACTTGGATTTGGTAAAAATGCTTTCTATTGTAAATATTTGATAGGCCTCGATTTTAAATTAAGGCGATCATATGATCCACTGAAACACATGAGGCTTACGATAATAGTATAACAACAATAACAACAGTAAAATTTTAATGAACAGAAAAAACATCATCAAAATATGCCGTTAAAATGCAAAACAAAAAAACAAAATAAAACACCGAATTGGCGGGGCTTACGCGGGGCTTTCGCCCAGTTCCCACTGGGCTTACCTGGATCCAGGCAGACCGAAGAAGCTTTAGCTAGAGTCTCAGGTCTTTTCGTTACACCACTGTGGAGATGATGCTAATGATGATAATGATAATAATCATCATTATTAAACATCCATCATACTCAATCTTTCAATAATAATGTACAATGTTATTATGGAACTCGTTAACAGTGTACTGACATTATACCGTATACTGTAAATATAAATTGTTAGTTATTTTTGCAATTGTTTATTGTCTGTAGGCAACATGAATGGTGTGAACACGGATCATGTGCGCAAGTCAGCCCTGAACTTCAAGGAGAGGCGAAATATTTCAGAAAAACGATTGACTTACATAATAATTTTAGTATCGATATGTAAGTACTGAAATAACGTATACGAATAAGTGTTTGTTATAGGCGGCTATGCATATTATTTAATCGAAGTGCTGTTATCATTATTGCACGAAAAAGAACATTCATTCGTTTATCTTCTAACATTAAAAACCTTGAATGTTATGACTTATTGCAATCATTGTGATAAATTGTAAGCGTTCAATATTATCAGATGAGATGAACCCACATGCATGAGCCGATTTTAAGAAGGAAAAATTTGATTTCGTAGCCGCAGCTTAGCTAACTAGACAAAACAATTAAACAAATACAAAATATTAAATTGTAGGCCAATTTATATTTTATTTTTAAGGGCTTTAAAATCAGCATCCATCATACCCGGGAATGACTATTATTTGTCTAATATTACTAACGCCATCTACGACACTTTCAAAGTGTATCCTGATGTGATGTGCACGTCTGTAAGTAGATATAAACTGATTTTTGTTCTCGAAGCAATATGTTAAAGAAATTAAAATATTTTAAAGAAATTAAATTATTTTACAGTCAATTTTGCATTACTTCATATTGTTTTGGTTTAATTTTATGCAAATTTTTTTTAAAATGATTGTAGTTACGCTAAAATAGTTGTATAGAATACACACTAACACACACACTGAGAAAATCTTGTAGAAATCATGTAGAAAATACAGTAGTTAAACAGCTTCAAATAACCAAACAATAACGTACGTGTCGACATTACAATTGCTTTTTTAGAACGCTGTGTCTAGAGATACGGTACCGTATTTCTACTTCAATTTGCTAAAGGCATGGTAAATGGAATTACGTCACCATCACCCAATGAAGTGCCAGAATGTGCGTGCACATTCTGGCACTTCATACCGGTACCGTATACCGGTACCGTATCTCAAGCCACGGCGTTTTTCGTCATACATCTTCAAAAGTAATTTTCTCGAGCATAGCACCATGGTACGGACTATCTTTAGTACTAAATGAAGAAAATAACCTTGAAGAAATTCAAAAGATACGAAGCGATTCAGGTCTTGTTTTGAAAAAAAAAATGATCTTGCAGTGAGGCAATTCATGATGTATGTCAAAATACTTTGGCAACTTTCTCCCGTCCGGAAAATTGGCCATTCCAATTCATCCACTCTTCCCAGTCGGAAACATCAGACCTGATACCGTCGACTCTGGCGGCACCACTGGGTATACAGTAATAGTATTGAGAATAGTGTTGCTTTCATTTTAGGGGGAGAAAGGCGCTTATTGACACAACCATTAAATCTAAAATTTGGTATAATTTAGCATAATTCCCCATCAGCCCTTGGCATAATTTGATTTGGATCCAGTGGCGTATCCAAGGGGGGTCGTGGGGGGCAACATAAAGTCAAGATGTGTATAAGAGACAGCCATTCGAAAACTTCGAAGCAAAAAGAAATTAGGCTAGGCTTATGCTTATGCTTCGGGAATCTAAGAAGCAATATTTTTCAGTGGGCGTGGCCACCGAAAATAAATTCTACGCCCCCTCATATTTTGGTATCGACTTAAAAATAGAAGAACCTTTTCCAGCAAACCTTAGAAAATTTCGTCGCAATAGCTCAATGGGAACTGTGTTGTTGCTTAGGGGTTTCTTTGATTGCTGCTGTGATTTTTCTTCAATTTCTTCAGTACTTTTAAAGCCCTTTTGCTTAGAACTTTATAGTCCAGTTTAAAGAGAATAAATATAATTCAAAATAGCTTAATTTTACACATAATTGTCCGATTAAGGTCATTGAGCCCTCATTATAAAGTTAATGATGTGATTTATTCATTTCCATTAAAACAAATATTTTGATAGAGTACGAGCCCTTTTGTGATCTTGGGTCACAAATAGAAGCTCTGGGCTTTTCTTTTGCGATTTTGGTTGGGTTTCTTTTCGAGATGAGAATTATTTTCGAGGCTACTTTTGCAAAGTAAAGAGTGGGGAGGGGGCTTCTTTTCAAAGTGAATGCTGTAATTTTTGAGTATTAATAAGTAAACAATGAGGCCACTGTAACATCAGTCTGTATAATCATGGAGGAGTTAATGGAGTTATTACCAATGAATCACCTAAACTACTGTATAAACCAAGTGTGTTTTAATTGTTTATTTTGTTTCTTTGGTGTTTTTTCTTTTAGTGTTTACTGTACTATCTCAAAAAGAAGTCGCTACTATCTTGAAAAGAAGCCCATGGATTTCTTTTTGAGAGGGCTTCCTTTCGAGGCTATCTTTTGCTAACAAAAAAGGGGACTTCAATTCGAGATGGGCTTCTTCTCGAAATTATGCCCATTGGGCTTCTGTTCGAGGTTTTACGATATTACTGTATATTATTTGTTTGTATCGATTATTCCAAAGAGGCATTTCATGGACATTTCCGGAGTGTCAATAATACCAAAGATAATAAATAGCAGAAGATAGACCAGCTTCCCAATATAGTGGAACATCCGTTCCAAAGGCATTGTGGGTACATGGAGAACAATTTTACCCCGTCCGCGCGGTGGCGTTATATAGAAATAATAAACTGCAATAAAGGCGCCGCTCTGGTTAGTTTGTTTCCTATAGTTTCTCCACTTTTTCCACTCCCATTCGCGGGAGGGCGGATGTTCCATCAATTTTAATACAAATACGTGGAGCAGCTCATTCTTCTGCTATTTAAATTCTTTGATAATACCAATGAGAACAGTGCCAGAAACATAGAGATATAATAAGAATACTAGAGCGCTAACCGCAATGTATTCGATGTTCGAAATACGCAGAATTGTATGTGTGTACCATCCAAGATGGCTGCCATAGATTTAGCCAATCAAATTTCGCTAAGCACCATCGTTTGCAATTGCGCCCTCAATTTACTCAGAAAGTTCAGTACAGTGCGGTGTTTGAGTGTAATGAACACGATTTTAATTTTCATTCCTTGGTACTTTATTTTTGAATAAGATGCTCCACTTGGCCTCGTTTTGGCTACAATAGTTTAATAATTTGTTATTACCATTACTCATTATCATTAATTAAAGCCCCATTCCCGGCAAAATTTCACTAAAAATGACTTTTTTTTAGAAAATATGCATTTGCATTACTCCAATTATTATAAATCATGGAAAAATATTGGCATGAATTTTAGTTTTACGCAAAAGAATAAAAAAAATGAGAAATACAGACTACGGTATTTCTCATAAAATATTACCATTTTCTCGACGAATTCATCGTTACTAGGCAAATTCAGAGGTTGTAGATCGCATCCACTGGAATACTCTCGCTTTTATGTATACTTTATACAGTCAATAAAGAGCGCCCTCTTTAATGAGATTACTTTTTGTACTTCGCATCTCGCACAATGCGGTCGTTCGGTTAGGCTGAGATATGTTTGTTAAGTGTCAAAATCTCAGTCAGAATCAGTTTTTTAACAAAGTTGAAATAATTCCTATGAAATATTATATTTCACAAGTGTCAATACTAGCAACGGAAAATATCATTTCGGCCGTTTTTATGTGTGATAACAGAACCTAAATCGAGGTAAGGCTAGGCCTAGCCAGCAGCGTTGGATACGCTAATGTTTTCGGCGCGTACGATATTTCTTCTCACGACCTATCGCAAAATCAACATGAAAAATTCATCCGCATTTATTTTTTGTGTGGAACACAAAAAATCAAATTTCAGTCTTATTTTACATTTTTTTCAT